TTTCCTTGATTGACACGTGATGTTTACGAAAGTCGCCTCGATAGATAAGATAGACATAATATACATGGCTGTGGTATTTGTTTTTTGCTGAGTTCCGTAGTTTTTTGTAAATTGTCCTCCAAAGTTGTATGAAATTAAAGTCTTGAAAAGTGTCACGACAAGCCTTCGCTCGAGTGAAATTTAATTTCTGTAAAACTCTGAAAAATAAAGAGATCCGATCAAACTGATTGTGGTTTTAGTATAGGTACATGAATGTCTTACAACACACGAGAAACGAGCGAAATCCGTGTCTCAAGCAAAATCGACCGGACCGCTCTTACAGAGACACTCTCTTAATTACTCGTAGGAAAGCCCCAAAAAGGGATTCCTCCTTATTTGAGTTGAAATTCTATTCGTCGAGTTAACTGTCATTGTATGATCTGTCGAGTTTACCGTATCCATATATTGTCTGCCTAAGGTGATTCCTCGGAAAAAAAACGTTATCGCATTATTCCTTACACTTTCTGTAAATGTTCCCTATCGATGTCTCTTTCGAAAAGTACAATGAGAAAGATAGGTCAATGATACACACCTTATATCTTTAACTCTTTCTTCTCCTTGTCAGAGACTTACGCTCAAAATAGTTCGTCGGGAAGAGTTCAAAACAATTCATTTGATCATTTCCTTGAAAGGTTATGAAGTTTGGCCAAAAGCCAATCTATGAAGCCAATTGCAAGCCCGTGCTTGAATGGGTGATTGTTAAAAAAAATATCCTCGTTATGAACTTTTCGTTGTTCTTTTAAGATAGCTAAGCCCTAGTACAAAACCCATCAACATTGAAAATTAAAATAAAACTCTCACGTACTCAGTCTTTCTCTGACAAAGCTGAAATACAAAATCGAAGTGATTTCTTGCCACCCTCACATCAGTACGTTGCTTAAAGTTTACGGTGACGTTACAGCTTTGTTGCTCCCGATTTTTGTTCCCCGTAAGTACATAATTTTGTTTGAATATTTCGTGCATCAATCATACTTCTTTTTTAAGATTTCCAAGCCTCTGATTCTATGGTTCGATTTTGGGTCCGGATTATCACAAAAAATATTTTGTGGGCTTAGATTTAACGTAAGAGTGAGTGACGAATTAGCGCAAACGATCTGAAATAGCTCGGTTTCCAGCATCTCTCATTTTAAATAGATTATCGTGATCTTTTTGTATTGTATTTGCTGCGAACGGCGACAAACCATCCAAAGATTTTATAAAAGCAAATCTTTAATCGGCCATCCCTTTAAGATGACGTCAAAAAAACTCTATATGAAACCGCTCAGCATTTTCTGAATCAAAACTGGTAAAACACAATGGTAATCCAAAACCCTGAGTAACAACTGACAATCTTGAAAGTTGCAACTCGGTGGCCTTGTGGTTAATTTCGAAAAGACCGCCTCTATGCACTTCTGAAACCTGAATATCCAGTATGGGAACCCAGCTGGGGAGCGCGAAGTCCAGCTGCAACAGTCACTGTTACCTGCTACGTCATTTAGCTTACGAAATTAGGACGTGAGAAGAGTGAAACCCAGTTCAAGAGATATAGGAACATTGTCAAGGCCCACTCCCTATCTGGGTGATGACAAGAATCAGTAGGGGATAGGAAAGGCTTCAAGCTCACCACAAACCGGCCCAAAGGTATATACAGGGCAATAGTTCTGCAAAAACTTCCTGTATGCCCTTGAGTCCTAAAAAGTATACGGGCGACGAGCCAGAACCGTGAATCATTTTCATGTAGAACGCTGGAAAAATATCCTGCATATTAGCCGTCTGGACTAAGTTCCAGACACAAGCGGTGACTCAACACCTTAGGGCATGATTTTATCGTCCTCACACTGACAAGCTGGTGTAATCCACCTTGTTGTGTGGCGTTAGCGAGCTCTTCCATTGGAGGCAGGTTATTTAGTTTCCACTAGACTGGGCAGCATCAGTAACTACGTTTTGAGCTGCATACGGCTTACAGGCGGTGCTCTTAGTTACTCTCATGACTTGATCGGTGATAGGGCGATCTCGGTGGCCTAGGGGCCAGTCGCAGTTTTGATGTCTTCGTACATCCTTATGGCGTTCCTTTTTACTGCGGTTTACTTTATCTTACCATATCTTCCAAGCTTCGCTGTCGGCTCCCTATTTAGCGTTGACGTTACCAAGAAGGTACATTCCTTCAATGAAGGGGAGCCTGGAGACTACCTGCGAGGATCTCTTAATTTCGTTTCTTAACCGCAGTGCAAACATATGAATTTCATATATCTTAAATCATCATTCATCACTTGGATGGTTTATTTGGACCCAACACATTGATCAGCTCCCAGTTGGCTTGTTAACTCAGTTGGTAGAGCGCTGCACCTGTATCGCAGAGGTCATGGGTTCAAATCCCGTACGGGCCTGAAATTTTTTCAGGTCCTATTTTCAACTACTAAAGGGATCTCTTAATTTCGTAACTGATACAATTTGTTAACAGATGCAAGAATTGCCGAAAGGAGATGTATTACGCCCTCAAGCATTGATTAGTTATCGAGCCCTCTTGGAAAAAACAGCAAGTCGTATTTCCACTGTCCAAGAAATCCTGCCAGCTAAATTGGCCATACCACTCGGATCACGAATATTATTTTTAAGTCTGAATTCCCCTTATTTTACCACGTGTCCTCACTCGTTCAATCATGAGCACACTTACCAGGCATAAGATCCCTTTTGAACAACGACAGTTACTTGCATAACTATTTTAGATAAGAAGGGAAACTATTCTATACCACAGTATTTTTCTCGCGCAATTTCACTTGACATACTGACATCTTTCTTTTCGCAAGTCGATAAGTCTTGAACATGAGGCCGTTAATATAATACGGAAATTATTTTAAATTTATTTTTTAACTGATCTTTTTCTTTTCTCTTTAGCGGGACCCCGGATTTTAAACATACAATGTCCAAGCTCTCTAGTTCAGGGAAGTAACTTGACTCTTTATTGTAATGCTACTGGTAATCCTTCTCCGAATATTACTTGGATATGGGAAGAAACAGGAGAAGTTCTTAGTAGCAGTGAGGAGCTCACTTTTTCAGCTTTTAACCGTAGCCAAACAGGCAATTATAAATGCCTGGCGTGGAATGGAATTGGTAAAAGTTCAACCAGAACATGTCGCCTGGACGTACCTGGTAAGTTAAAATCGTGTAAACCAAACCCTTAGGGCCGGTTATTTAAACAAATTTTAGCCTTTGTTTAACAAAACCACGTTCTAAGCCATCTTCAATTTAGCCGAACCTTTTATCTAAGGATCAATTGTTTGTGAACAGTGTCAAGAGGCCGAGACTTTGTAGTGGAAGGACATTTATTTCTCTGAAATCAACCCCCCTCTGGAGAATCACCGAGGTTCACTGCTTGCGTAAAACCGCAATTTGGGTTGGATCTCGTTTCAATAACTGGCCTTTACTGTTTCACTACACAAATGATGTCTTTCTAATTCATACAAATTATTTTCAAATCAATAACTTATTTCAAAATCAGAATCAACTGTACAAAGCGTGAATCTAGGAATTACTGAAAAGGAGGGTTCAAAGAAATTTTTTTCGTGGCAAACAACTTTTCAACCGACCCAGGCTCGCCGAACCCTCCTCCACCCCACGGTCACACAGCACACCCCATTATCAAGTTAACACCTTACCGTGTACATGAATTGTACTCATAAGAGGAGGCAACTGTAGACCATTAAAAGAAATTATACCAGATGAGGAGTAATATTTCATCCCTTCAATGCAAAACTTTGGTGGGAAAACTCTCTAGTCTGATAAGGGGAAGGGGTCTCCGCACCTCCCAGACATCCCTCTGGATCAGCCGTATAAGTACACCTTTTAAGACCTTTAGATTCTCAAACGCCATAGCGCGTGGGATATTTCCACTGAAGCAATTTCTACCGATAGGGACTGACCTTGACAGTAAAGTGATCGAGTCGCCGAGCAATTCATCAATATCAAGTATTATAACACTTAATTTTCCTTTTTTTCGTATAGACGAACCTCTGGTTCTAAACTTAGAGTGTCCAGCATCAATCATTGAGGGACATAACGCGACTCTTCACTGCAATGCAACTGGAAATCCTCCCCCAAATATTAACTGGATACGGAAAGACACAGGAGATGTTCTTGGCACCAATGAACAACAGCTTACTCTGTTGGATGTTCATCGCAGCCAAGCGGGGACATATCAGTGCTTTGCATGGACTGGAATTAGCAATAGTTCGATCAGTACATGTCAACTGGATGTGTTTTGTGAGTCAATTAACTGTAATGTTTTTAGTACACGTATCAGCTGAGGCGCATGCCCAAAGTAAATGTGATGATGACTATAGAGTTTAAAACTCTATTGTAAGAAATTGTTTCTTTCGTGGGAGTGGCATGACATACGAATGGAATTTTTGATACAGTCGTTCCCCAATCAGGCCCTGATGCGCGACCGCGAGAACAACGAACTCTGTTTGTGTTGCAGACTTGCCGTCTGGGACAAGAATGACACCTGACCTAAAGGATACTGTCGTGTTAGCTGGAGGCAGTTTGTTCCTAAACTGCACCTCAGATGCAAACCCTACAGTTAGTGTGTTTCAGTTGGTATTCGATAGTGCCTTAATCGCCACCAGCAGCTCTGGGATGTTTAGCGTTACTGTGAAGAAAACTGGAATGTACACCTGTATCCCTGTTAATGAAGTCGGCTCAGGAGACAGTGCTACAGTCAAAGTCACCGTCCTCGGTAAGGAGATATCGTCTAAACTCTCTTTTATTACTCAATGCTCCGGCCTGAAATTGCCATTTTAATTTGAATTAGTACAACTGAATCATCATCATGAGGAGGACCTTTCATGTAGCAGCATAGCACTTAACTGGGAGGTGCTAAATTTGTAAATGATACTATCGGCCGTGAAATTAATCAGATCTAGATTGCTGCTGAGTTATTTTAATGGAAACCATGCAAATCTTTCAGTAAATGTCCTTTTATAGGATCAAATGTCTATTTAAAAAAAAGTGGCAAGCATGTGCTTCCGTTCGGTGGAAAATCTAAAAGTTACTTCTTAGACAAGGATGATAAAAAAAATATCTTCCAAAGAAACCAAGGATATGTAAATCATTTATTGAGAGCTTTTGATTTTCGGAATAATCGGCAAGTTTTCGGAGCACTAATCTTGGTGCTCACCGCGCTTTAGCAGTAAGTGTAAAAATTGAATGATCCGTAGATTTGTGCAGTTCCGCAGCTTGAAAATTCTTTTTTTTTTTTAACTAAATTGGTATTGCATTTCACTGAACGATTGCTCCTGAAGACCCGCAGCCCTGTCGCTAAGAATAAATGAAATGAAGTGTGAAGAAATGACTGTCCCTGCCTTTTCACGGTCCTTTTGAGGATAGGTGATGAAATTGGGTGTGATGAATTGACAACGACAGTTCTGTCGTCCTGTATTTGATGAATGATTAAGTAATATGCGGAAGGACTGCTACCGCGGTCCCTCGGTTATTTAGATCTGTTAATAATTTATGTACAGGTTCAGAGGATTTTGGTTCCAGAATCATTGGTTTTATCAATACGTTCGTTGATTATATCTTGTTTTTGTTTGTTTGTTTGTTTGTTTTTTCTCAATTCCGTTTATATGTTTTTGAAGATGCTCCTGGTTTTCCGATATTTGTAAACAACACCGTTGATACAATCACTATCAGGTGGTCACCAATTTATCTTCAATCTGCTACATATACCGTAAATATAAGACCTGGGGAAGAAACAACGTGGATGAACGCAACGTGTAAACAGACTATTTGGAATAATAAATGCACGGTGACAGGCACAGTTGCGGAGGTTTTTGGTCTCGAAGAGGACTCTGCGTATCATTTTAGAGTTTATGCTAACTACAGAGGAGTCAGAAGTGACGCCAGTTTACCGTCAGGAGCCTTCAGAACAGCAGGTGATGTTGAATTATGTGATTTTATGAGTTGTTGCCATGTAATGGAAGTTTTTCCTTCATGTAATGTATTCAGAGATATTTAATTGATTATAAGTATTATTGAAACGAAGCATTCAGATATTGAATGTTTTGTTTTTTAATTTGTATTTCCATAAACTTGCAATTTGCATTGGTATTTGCTAATCAAATGAATAGTCAAATAGCAATGCTAACGAGGCCTGACAACTGTACAAGTGTAAAATATACTCTATAAAGAAACCCAAGAAGTGGTTTTTCTTTATCATCTGTCACTCAAAATACGTTGTATATCTTTACTGCGTATGGCAACAGTAACACAACAAAGATATATTACGACTCTAGTTACCTTGTTTATTTAAGGTATTAGTTTTACCTTATCTAGACATCACTTATTTTACCCTGACTGGCACTTAAAATAGCAAGTGCTGGTCATGGTTCAACCTGCTTCATAACAATTTTTCCCTGGGGCGCGCTTAACTGTCGAAAATAGGGAAGCCGTTCATTGCTATAGACGGGCGTGTAGTTTTCTCTTTCAGGTTTACTCTTCTTTTTTCAGTACTGGCTTAACTGATGTTGCAGCAGATGCCTCTCACGTTTGCACCGGTTTACGGTCTTAGAGCACTTGAGGCCTTGAAATGTCTACCAACGGTAGGTATAGTAGGCTATAGTTGTTTAGCCATAATCATAACAATAGCAATACTTTACTATCAGATGTTCATAATTTTTTAAACATTTCAAAACATGCTCCAGAAAGCATAAATTTCTTCCTTCACCAGCGGTGATTTTCAGATTAGTAATATACATGGAAAAATTTCCCAGTTCTGATTGGTTAAGATAAATGCAGTTTTCAGGTAATTCAGTGCAGAAGAGGGTTAATTCAGTGCAAAGAAAGTAACAAATTAGACATTCTGATTGGTCAATAATCAAAGAAACTCACAGATAGCCAATCAAATGCGAGCCTTGGATGTCGCAACAAAATTTGAAAATTTGAAAATTTGAAAATTTGCGAGCGAAACAAGGGGCGGCGTTTTAAGTAGGTTTTCTTTCGCCACCGCAGCTGAAAAACAGCTCAAACAACGAAAATACTGTAAAAAGCACTGCTTTTTGGTTGTCGGTTTGGGAAAAGTGGTGTTTAAAGAAGGGAATTGCCAAGGAAATCGAGAATTACGAGCCGACCTTGCGCCTTAAAGATGTGAAGATATCATTGCATATTATTGTTTTGATCGTACGTTGTTGTTTTGCCCGAACGTACGGTTTGAATAAATTATTTTTGCACTTGATGCGCGCCCTTTGCTTATGCTTAATTTTGATAAGCCGTCTCGAATTTTTCCATGTATATAATTAAAACGTAATCACATGATTTTTCTCGTGCAATTTGGAATAAACAAGCACTTGTTAATTTTTTCAAAGACCACAATTTTGTTAGTCTTTGAAAAAATTTACCCGTGCTTATTTATTCCAAATTGCACTCGAAATCATGTGATTACCTATACGAATAGAGAGGAATTAGGTTGATTACTGTCCTCGTTTTCCTTTTCGAATACAGCTCCTATTCCTAACATGATCAAGCCAAAGCTAAAAGTTGTATACTTTTTTATCTTTTTGACCGAAGGTGAAAAAAAACATGATGAAAATTCCTACAGAAAATTTTCAGAGTAATATGCTAATCACGATGCAAAAATATTCATGTCAATTTCACAGAACAAGTTTACAGAGACTGGCTGATGTTCTTTGAAAACATCCGAATAAAACTGTATTATGAAGACTGTCAATCTATCTTTGAAAAACGGACTTGATTGTGGGTTTTTTCTTTCTCGCCTTTCTTTCTAAACCAGTTTTATTACGTATAATAATGCAAACTCACTTTTTGCAGTTTTGATGTCGGACTGAAAGCTGGAAATTCCTGTTTTAGTTTCATTACCTTTGAAAAATTAAAACATTCCATGCAAGTGTCAAGGACACGAACCGAAACATCTTATATAAGATAAAATTTAATTTCTCGAAAGGTATAAAAGAATGAAGAAATTTTCGGAGGATGTGTTAATGAGCTTCCTCTATTTTCTGGTCGTCTCTCAGACTATCCACTGGTCACAATAGCTTCGCCATCTTGTTTGACGCAGAATCCAGGCACTCGTATGGAAATCTACGTTCTTTGGCAGCGGTCCTTCCCTCCAACGTTCTGAAGTTATCCAGATTGATGCCTCACCACACAAAGTAAAGCCTGGAATTTCTAGCCTTTCTGATGACCCGACTCTAGTTGAGTCTTTCATGAATCCTCTACTTGAATCTGCTTAGCAAACCATCCCAGACGACAAACAAGTATCCACTGCGATATATTTGTTAGCAACAGCAGTCAAACGCTATTTTAGATGAGCTTAGGAAACTGTGTAACGACAATTTCAAATGTCCTTTTCTATTTAAGAACGATTATAATGCTAGAATCATCACTGGTCAGGTCGAAGGCATTTATGGTTGGGTTGTTAAAACATTCTACATCGTATGGTAGTTTAGAAATGGAAGAAGAATCCCACCAAAATTCTCGGGAAACTGACAAAGTAGTCCTGTTGTTGTTGTTTTTGACGTGGCTAAGAAAAAATAAGGGGTTTTGGCTTTTTATCGTGTTTAACAGATATAGGCGCTGTTTGTTCTGACTACGTCAAAAACACAGTCAATTCTGGTAAAATAAGGCTGTCCTCGAATTCATTCTGTAAGAAAGACTACAGTGAGATTAATAAAAACCCTTATGCCAAAAATAACTGCTTTGGGGGAAATTATATAAACGCGCTGTTGACTGAAAGGTTTGGACTCGGTCGATTAAAGGTAATTTACTGAATTGGTTCCAGTTAGGCTGGACCTTAGGTGGAGGTCTGCTTCACACAGGTAACGTGGACGAGTAATTCGTTTATTTCCTAAGTTCTTCTTACAATAGATATTGAGAGGCTTCAAATGCATCACCTCGAGAGCCAGAATATGTCTTTTGAATAATCTAAAGAACATGAATAAAGCTCACCTTAGAGAAGCAACTTCCATTTTTTATTTTTCGACATTATGTCTTATAACTCATCGTTATTCATATGGAAAATTTAAGTGGAGCACAAACTATTAGGAGGCCAGTTCTTTTGATTAATCGACCGGTCGAACGCTATATTCTATACAGGCGGCATCTAAGCTCACTTGTTTTGGGTGGTAATTGAAATATCAATGGAAATCCTGCAGAACGCAGAAGGAATACATTTAAAATGGGTGGCAGATACCATGTAATTAAATTTCTCTACCCGCCCGTAAGGTGACTGCAATTTGTGGTCTTTGGAAAAATTTTGCTCATGCTCATTTATTCCTAATTGCACGAGAAAAATCGTGTGATTACGTATTAATAATATATATGAAAAAATACGAGATAGCTTATCATAATTGTGCAGAAGTAAAGCGCGCATCAAGTGCAAAAATAATTTATTCAAATCGTGCGTTCGGTGAAAACAACCGCGTATAATCAAAACAATAATATACAATGATAAGTCTGGCTAAACAGTTCAAGAAATTGTTCAGTCTGGTCTGTTACTTCTTTGCACTGAATTAACCCTCTTCTGCATTAAATTACCTGAAAACCGCATTTATCTTAACTAATCAGAACTAAATTGTGCCCGTATCTATTCTCCTATTTACGTGTGAAAAAGAGTAACAAATTCACATTTCTCTAAGAATTAAAGCATTGAATTTTATCAGTACATCTAACATTTCTTATTGTAGAGCTGGTCTGAATTTCATCTCTCCTTACTGTTTGTTAATGTGAGCATATAATACAATGATTAAAGGGGATAAGTTTCTACAGAAACTGCGGTGCTGCGTCGGTGGGAGAGTATAAGAACGTAATTTGGTATTATTTACTGAGTTAATAATCTAAGTTGGCAAAAAAGGGTTTCAAAGCTGACGTTTCGAGCGTTAGCCCTTCATCAGAGTGAATGGCGAAGGGCCAATGCTCGAAACTTTTATCTTCCATGGAAACTTTCACTCGACGCGTCTTTGATAAGTTTGCACCATGCTGATACAGCTGCTTTTCCAGAGACCATTCGTTTTGGCTTTGGGATAAAAGTGCCTTCTTATTGCGTTTTCAGAATTTACCTTTATAGCTTGGGAACACCGAGGAACCCAAACTAGAATCCAACAGGAACCCAAACTAGAATCCAAACTCGAGCATGCCTTACTTTCCTTAAAAGCGCATTTACTTTCCGTTAAAGCAAAATTGTTTCACACTTTAAACAAGTGGGAAAGTCCTGCCGAAAATAGAATCGATATTTAACCAGAATTAAAGCGAAATTTTTGAAGTTTCAATCTGCAACTCTTTAACTTTCTGTTTTCGAATAAGCTCGTTGTAAGTGTCATCGAGTTGAAAGTACTTTATCGACTGAATTATCACAGTAACAATAATCATAGTAAAATGATAAATAATTAATAATATTTTAAAATGAGGCCTCCAATCGCCCGAAGGTGGTTTTCAGGAGGACCCTCATAAAAATTAAAAAAAAAAGATCTTAAATTCTAAAACAGGCTGAATTACGTTTAGACTGACGATAAGATATATAAAATGTCCATATAAAAGTATTAATAAAAAAATTAAGTACTTTCCCTTCGAGTTCGAGGTCCGTACAGTGAGTTACGGACCGAGGTTTCAGTTCGAATTTACGACCCAAGCGCAAAGTGCGCGGGCCATAGGTCCCGATGAGAAACGAGGTTCCGTAATTACCGCGAAAACGAGATAAATTATTTATTATATCACTGGGTCACGTCGTGGTGAAATGGAAGCCAGTTTATACTTTTGAAAAATTCAGTACTGTTCGCTTGCGTGTTAGCGTCAAAGATGTTTCGCGCTGCTCGATTTTAAAGGCGAGATACTCTTTGCAAATTCCCAACAGAACACGACGACCACACTGAGGAGGCATAGAGCATTACTTGCTTGATAATCTAATATGTTATCCGCTATTCAAGGGGGAGCAATCTATTAATTCTCCTTACCACAGCAATTCGCTGTGAGAGTTTCCTGCAGAGTTCATCGATATGGTCAACGAAGGACAACTTGTGATCTATTTTGGCTCATAACAGTTTTTGTGAATCTTTCCTTCCTCAATTTCGGTGGCATTTAATTTGACTGAATATGTGTCAGTCTTTTTTCAAGCCATTTAACGGTTGCCAGCATTACCTTAGTCTTTGCAGCTTTGACAACGATCTTGCTAACCACACAAACTTAACACCTACAAAAATTGCAGACCTCTTGAATTTCGTCAAATTTTTCAAATTTCGATCAAACATATTTCCAATACAGCGGGTAGATTTATGAACAACAAGACGGAGCAGCTATGGGAAGCCCTGTTTCCGCTGTCATAACTAACATCCACATGGAAGAATTTGGGGACTGAAAGGGCGACAGCAAGAGCGACTTACAAACTTAAGATTTGGAAGCGATATGTAGATGGTGTTAGACCGAGACCATGTAAACGGCTTTTTACAATGTCTATAACACCATTCCTTTTCTTGACAAATCAGTTACAAGGGACTCAGACGGTCTTCTCACTAGCACTGTCTACAAAAAGCCCACTCACACTAACTAATACCAGGAGCACATAACTTAAGGGCTCCTGCCAGTACCTAGCCTATGATTCACGCCATCCTCAGTCAGTGAAGCGTGGTATTGTTAAGTGTCTATACGAACGAACCAAACACCTCACAACGAAACCGTCAGTTATCTCTGAGGAAAAGAAACATTTGTCATCAGTACTTGTTTCTAAAGGTTACCCTTCTTCGTTTCCACGAACACTCGCAAAGAAAACGAGAGTAACAGCCAACAAAGAAACCGTGCAGGAATTTAAATCTACTGCCGTTCTCCTTTACATAAAAGGGTGTATCAGAGGCTCTTCACCGCTGCCTACAACATCAAGGCATACCTTTTTCGAGTTTGAAACAACGCTTAGGTCTCACTTAGTGCGACCTAAAGACGCCTTAGAACTAACAAAACAAAACGGTTTCGTTTGCAAGATCCCGTGTGAATGCAGCAAAGTGTATATCGGTGAAACAGGGAGATCAATGCGAGAAAGGATAAAAGAACATGACTGACACAGTTTGCTCGTACTCAGACCTCTGCGGTTTCGGAGCACGCTAATGAAACGGGGCATATTCCTATTTGGAGCAAGGTTAAGTTTATTGATCGTGACCCTCACTGGTACACACGTAGGGTCAAAGAGGCTATCCATATAAGATTTCATCCCTGCAATATCAATAGGGATAGTGGAATCGAAATTCCCGAAGCTTGGATACCCACGATCCAGGCGGTGTGCGCACTCCGATTGCATTGCATTGTGGTAGCTTCATTTTGAATATGGCGCTGAAAGCGGCAGAAATCAACAGATTTTGACTGGATATTCCGTAAAAAATAGGATGTTCCTTTTTCCTTTCACCATAGTTAAATGTAATTTGATTTATTCTGAATATGTAAAAGTATTTTTTGTACTTATTTGTCCTGTATTCTATGGTTCTCAACGACAAACGAGAAGGTCAAATTTGATGTAAGTCGTAGTTTAAAGCCTTTCAAAGATTTGGATGGCCACTTTGATCCTTCTTCAACAGCTCTGACCAAACGCTCTTCAACGGTACATGTGTTTCTCACATTTTAAGTGCTAATGTTTGAGGCCGATTATGATCGAGAAAAAGCCTGTTGTTATAGCTGTGTTTAGTGCTTTGCGTTACACAGCGTTACTATTGTATACTCAATTGTGTTTTAAATCCACTTTCCTAAGTAAATTAACTAATCGCGAGTGTTTTATGGTAATCTACTACCTTTATCATTGAATGACGGACAGTTGTATTAGAGCAATGAAAAGAGTCACTTGACCAATGAATAACTCTACAATGTGCACGGTGACATGTCGTGTAAGCCGGAAAGCAAAACGCAGTCGATCGCTAAATGGTCTTGATAGGATTGTGCGAATCCTGCCACTCGCTTGCGCTTTTAAATCTTCTAACTTTAAGCTGTTATTAGGATATCTTTTAATGAATTTCGTTTGCGATGTGATAATAACGGTTAGTTTTAAGGTGTCATTTCCCCATCTGTATGTTCTTGAGGTTTGGCAGAACCGGATGAGATTGTGTTACAAAAGGTAATGTTTTCATGTGC